CTGTATATCACTGCATTTTTGACTTTTGAAGATCACTTTACATAATCCTAAGATATGAGTAAATATACTTTGATAGTTTCAGAGATATTAATAAATCAATAAAAATATACATTTTTCAGCCTTTCTTTAAAAAAATTATTAAAAATGAACTGAGCTGAAACTAAAAATGACCTGGAATCAAAACTATATTAGGTATTTACTTTAGATGGTCTGTACTTATTTTGCTATAAATATGGTAATCGTAAATCATACAGAATGTTCAAAATTCTACGCCAAACTTACTAAAATATAAAATAATTTTTCTTGATTTTTATAAATAGAAACCTGTATACACCCTGTGTATTATTTTTTCAATAGATAGATTTTTTTGTATTTAGAGTATTTCAACATTTTTAACGGTTTTGGAGATATTCGCGATTTTATATTTCATATTTTTTATTTATTTATTAGTATCTCTGAAATTATCGAAATATATTTACTCATATCTTAGGATTGTGTAAAGTGATCTGAAAGGAAGCCAAAAACGCAATAATATACAGGGTCGTCCATTTAAAAAAAATCATCCATATCCACTCACACTTTTTGAACCACTCTATAGAAGTTTAAATATTTTCCTGAAATACATCCTCGTACATACTTTAGGCACGGCATATAAATCACACGGCAGGCCGATTCGCTTTGGCGGGAACGCTACGCGCATATCCTCGCGCACCCCGCAATTTGCGTTTCCATCAACAGAAAGTAACCAGTGTCGTAGTTTTTTTCAGCGACAACACACAGTTACGGCAGATTCGGGTCAGTAGCGTGCGACTTAATTTATTTTGATTTTTTCTTGAGTGATATATTTTGTTTTTGTTGTTTTATTTTTGTTTATTATGTGATATATTTGGGTTTTCTAGTTTTATTTTCGTTTCTTATGTATTATAATTGCTAAAAGGTGCCCGGTGGCGTAGAGGTACAGGCTCTCGTCTACCAATCTCAAGGTAGTGGGTTCGAATCCCACATCCGGCATTTCATCAGCCGACAATTTTTATTAAAATAAAAATAGTTTGGGTACCTAGGTCGACTCAGCCTTAAATGAGTACTTGGGATTCACAATCCTGAGGTAACGCGAAATTTCGAGAAATAATAGGCGGTTGAAGCGTAGTACTAGCCACATTACCTTCCTTTGTATACCGAATGGCTCTAGTATGGCAAGCTGTACCTTGCTACTCCCAAGGCGTCAAACGCTATATACGGGAGCTATTATTATTATAATGTAATATAATTTGTTTTAGTAGTTTTATTTTTGTTGGTCAATAAAAGTTTCTTTCTGTTTCCTAGAGATCCTATTAGGTATGTATATATGTAATTAATTATTTTAACATATTTTAGTTGTGAAAAAAAAACAGTAGTATACATATTAGGTCATTCAGCTAAATAGGAAGATCTAATTAAAAATCTTAACAAACTTTAATATTAGTAAGATTTAATGTTAAATATTTAGTAAAATTTAATGTTGTATCTAGACATTAAAAATTAAATTTAAAAATCATTATACTATTAATTTAAATATAATTATAAAAGTAAATAAAATGAGTATATCTAAAATAAGTTAACAATATATTTTGAAGATATAAATAAGGCCCACAAAAGGTACAAGTTGCGTTCTGTTCATTTTGAATTTAAAATGTTTACCAATTCACTTTGTAACTGTATAAAATACAATGTACCTACTTTGTTTCCTGCCATGAAAAAATAGAAGTTTCTCAAAAATTTGTGGATTTATTAATTTGTGAAATTTGAATATTAATAAAATTTGCTACGCCCATTGATGGGCATAATTTGTACGTAGCCTCTTTATATTGTTCAATAAATATTTTATTGGTATTTCTTTAATTCTTGTTTGTAACTCCTGGCATGTTTTTGTTAGTTGCATGTTTTTTAATTTTAATTGTCTATTCTCTACAGTGAAATATTTAATTGATTTTTTCATTTTTACTTGTCGAGAAGTATGCGCGGTTAAGGATTCATTTGTTTGGACAAAAGTATTGTGTAAATAAAATTCAGTTTCAGTCAATTACAGTATTTTTTTAATACGACCCTGTCGTATTTTCTGAGAAATTTTTTGATACGTTTTAATCCGGCCCTGACTAGGAAACGATAATGTCTCCGTCAAGGTCAAATTTTATAGAAATTTTAAACAAAGGAATCTGAGCAGAGTTGGCGTGCCGATTGTTTTGTGTGCCGTGCTTTAGGTTTGCACTTAAGAGTCTATTACCACAGATTAGGTATCCTATAAATATACAGATAAAAATCTTGTCCCTAATTCGTGGTACGAAAATTGTTTTTTATGACGATGTGCAAACGAGTCAAATTTCCTGAGCGCAAAAATAAACTCGCGTAAAATAACAATAAACAGCGTAATAGAGAGATATCGCTAAACCGAATAGCGTGCATGGACGTTAATAAGGCCAGGTGTTATTTCCTTTACGTGAGGTGGTATTAACTCTCTTCATTTATAGTTATCGGATCGGAAAGAATTCTGTTCGCGTCGCGTCCGCTATTTAAACTTAACCTAACTTTGAATTTAAAACTTTGACATTGTTTTGTTTACTAGGTATTTTAAAACTAAAGGGCTAAAGTGCTTATTTCCAGTGCTTTATTGTTCAATGTCTGCCAGTGGGTTTAGGGCAACAAGCAACAAACAACAAATTCTCTTAGAAGGGCTAAGTCGTCATCTGCTGTAAAACTAAGACTCTTTAGTATTGGAAGAGGTGGAATCCATATTTTGGGCCATATTTATTTAATTAAAACTAATCCCAGCTACTTAAATATCAAATTACCTAATAAAACTAAAGCAATAATTCAAAACAATTCAAACATAACCTAAAATAAAAGATCTCGCCGGCCGGCTCCGGTTGTCAAATACCCGCACATGCCCATTTAAGCAATTTTTAAACGTTATCAGAGGTTATTTAGAAAGAGCGCTTGGTGTAATTGATCCGCAAATTACGTCAGGCGGTAACGTTATTAGCGGGTGTTGCGTTAAAAATTGACTCGCGCATATCGTAACCATGATAAGGTACGCGTAAATACTGGATGACGCTATTCGGTTTTGCGATATCTCTCTAATAACTGTGCCGGTCAGGCGCTGTGCACAATTTTAGAGGCCATAAGTGGGCGTGCTATGTGCGCAAACTAGTCACCTAACTAGTGCCCGATTCCGAAAATTGGAACCACAAAAAACAATAAAGAAAAAACAAAGATTATAATCTGTATAATCTGTGCTATTACGCTGTACTTTCTGGTCGCCCTCTGGGGTCGGGTAAAGGGGGGGGGGTGGTCGAAGGAAATATACATTATATTTCAGAAATCTACCTAAGGCTTAGCCCGATCCTGTCGTGTTAAGCCACATCCATAATACAATTATATACAATAACAATTCCAAACATACGTGCTTTGATTAAGGCTTGATTAAGGGTTGCAGAGCTTCAGCATTTGCGATAAAATAGTGAGCAATTTGTTACAAAACCATATCAATTATATATCACTGTAATCACAAAACTTCAATCTACTTCTGTATTGTAAGGGAGTTTTAAATTATTTCTTTATTTTCGAGAAAATTTAGTCCAAACAAAGAATATTTTGTTGATGTTTGACCATCAAAATTCTAGAAATAAGGAAGTTGTCTAAAAATGTGCTACAATACGGATATAGTATAATCCTTTATCTTTAATTTCCTTCTTTATTTATGTAAAAATATCAGCCAGTTTTATATAAAATTTATGTTGTTAAATGCCGAATGCTTATTTTGCTACTTTTTGGACTAAAATATGGACTCTTAAACAAAATTCTCAAGTTTTTTAATCTAGGAGCTACAGATGCCCGACGCACTATTGCCGAACCGTGTCTATCTTATAGTTAACAAAATATTGTATTAAATTATAAAAAAATAAAGGACCAAAAAGAAAAAAAGAAAAGGAGGTCCAAAGTATATTTTTTATTATGTACGATTTTAGGTACAAACAGAATCTCATATGGTAACAGAACCCTGCATGCTTACCCATCCCAGAACGCTGTTATTTTTTACGATGTATCCTAGGCGAGTCATTTGACGACATGTCTCCCGCAGGATCGTAAACCGATCGGGATAGGGAAAGGAGGAACCGAAAAGGGATATGAAGTACGTAATGGGTCTGTGTCTTGTCGATGTCATTGCAGCATAAATCTCTCTGTTGGGAAAGGTGAGTAGCCTTTTTGGTCGTCGTTGAATACAGATAGGATTAACTCTACTCCATGGAGTTAGAAGTAATACGGAAAGTTTGATATGTTTACAAAAACCAATGCAACGAGGTGAATTTAAGCTTTAATTCTAATTCTTAATTCAACAAACATAAACAGAAAAATATATTTGATACCAATTAAACTTTTAGTTACGTAATCGAAGGCGCAATTTTTAAATTCATTGTTGCCAACTATGGAATATTCGGCGCCGGGCTGACTAAATGGAATTTAAATTTACCGCTGAGGATTCTCTGCTGTAAAAAATGTGAAGTTGTCATATTTATTTATTTATTTCCTGACATTGTCATTCGTTTTGACACTTTAATTTTGTATTACGTGTTTCTGGTTTAAATAAATAATGTTGTGATACTTTAAGGTAAAAAATGTTTACTAGCATACCTGGCAGTCAAACATTGTTCTTTTTAGAACCCCTTTTAATGCGAAGTGTACAAGATAGCTTAATAGCCGTAAAAACTCATTGCAACGTTATTAGAATACTTTGACAGGGAAAGCGGTAGTAATGGTTCTTTATGCCCTTTAAGTGCTGTTAAGGAGGTGAATTTTGTTCATGAAAATAATAACTGTTTATACATATATTTATAATTAATTTATTTTTGTTTTCTAAAATATTTTGATGAAAAGAAAATATGTAAAATTGGGCAATGCTGTGCCGGTCAAGCGTAATCACGTGACTAAAAGTTTATTTGATATGAACTATTATGTACTATACTTACAATTCATCAAGACTAAGGAAATGGAACAAAGATGTTTCATTTAACGAAGTGATGTTGTTGCTGGTTAAATCCCTGAAACAAACAGAAACACATCATTAATCAAAAAGCAAAAATATAAATATAAAAAGATTTATATTCCTAAGCTTTATTCAGAACCTCGCAATTAGTGGAACCGCTAATTTACGGTTTCAGATACACTTTATACTATTTAGTTTACGATCACATTCACAATGTTTAAAAAACACAATTAAAATAAATAGAATATCCTAGTAACAGCTTCCGTAGTCAGTTGTATCCATAGAGAAAGCCTAATATTTAGTATTTAGCTTATAAAACAATCAACTTTTGATTTCTAACGCCAATTTCTCTAAACGGAAGATAATCAAAGGCCAAAATGACATTGCAAATTTTGAAGTATAATTAATTGAAAAGTTAAACGTTTGATAACTTTTTCTACTAATTGAAACTGTCTAGCACTAATTTTGACGTTCTGAATACTTATATTGAAATTAAACAAACAAAATTCAAGTTCTACGCTAATTGAAACCACTAATTTTAGTGGCGTGCGGTGAAATTTATACAAGGGGAAGCGACTTGATAAATTTAATAAAAAAAAGTTGAAAAATATGTTTAACAGATCACATATAAACCACTACCTAGATTCATATTATAAAATATAAACTTTTTTTCCGATTTAGCTGAAATTTTGAATGCGCGTATAAGTAATTTAATAAAAAATGGAGAAAAACATTACTAAAAATTGTATTAATGAATAATAAATATGTAATAAATAAAAATAAATATGTAAAAATTAAAAAAAAAACGATTAAAAAAAAGTCGCCTTGACTAGGATTCGAACCTGCCTAGCTACGGCTCCAACGTCATAGCAGCGTAAAGTTCTAACGCTTTAACCACGCGGCCACCGAGGACTTGAAAGATTCTATGTAAAATTCTCACTTAAACGATAATGTTTAGTGAAAGTACTTTTTTATTTATAAACATTTATTTAATTCTGTTTTTAGTATTTGTTCTTATAGCGGCAACATAGATACATTATCTGTGAAAATTTCAACTGTCTAGCTCTAACGGTTCATAAGATAGACCTTAGTACAGACGGACGGACGAACGGATAGCGAAGTCTTAGTAATAGGGTTCCCGTTTTTACTCTTTGGGTACAGAACCCTAAAAATGGAAAAAAATCAAGTCTGCAAGACCAACATCAATCTTGCTCATCACCACGGGGGTGTCACTTGTATGGGAAAACAGGCAACAGTCAAATTTAAACGTGCCAGGACCAACGACAAAGAAAGCAACATCTGCCAGGCATTGGCTTTCTTTGTCACTCACATTGCTTAAATCATGATACCGCGGCCATTTTGCCAACAAAGAAGCTGACCGGGCTGTCCTGGCAAGTGATTTAAAACAATTTTGCTTTTACAATATTAAATTACCATTTGGATGTATTTAATGCGATTATTCAATTAACTGGTAAGTCAGAAATTACACACAAATACTTTATTCGTAAATACAACTAAGATGTAAACGTAGTTTTGTATTTTTAGATTTCAACTTTTGCAAAGACCCGCCGATAGAACTTGCCTGGCAGCGTACCTGTTTAACTAAACGTATTATTTCCTGATAATAATATCAAAACACGTAAGTACCTCTATAATTTATGATGACAAATGATTTTGATTATGTTTTATGTTATTTAAATACTTTCTAACCTCAAATAATAGTAAGATCCTTGTTTATATCGCACAGCCCGTTCAAAACTGTATTGTCTTCAAAAAATGTTTACAAAACAAACAATTATTACAAAAACAATGTCCTTTTAATCTGATTTATACCTCAGAAGGATGCCAGTAAAATTTTATTAAATCAACATTATATTATTTGGCCATTAATATGCAAAAAGGAGCATATTGCCTTAACTTAAATTTTCTTTTACTTCTCCTGACAATGTTCTCTATATTCTCTATTTTGAGTTAGTAAACTTTTGAACGGGATGTGCGATATATAAAATACATAATATATCCAAGGGTATGATCTGATAAAAGTATTTTTTGATGCATTTTTTGGTTGTTTATGCACATTGGCACAGAATATCTAGCTACGCAACAGAAGCCTCGTTACATGTATAAAACTGTAGGTAGCAAAAGGAGACAGGCTTTAAAAGTCTGTCTCCAAATCAGATATTTTGATTTGGTAGTTTCGCTACTACATAATAGAGGGCAATAAATTTAAAAGAAAACAGTTTTCTACAAACAAAATTAAAAAAGAATTTTGTGCAGTGTTGCCATTGTGTAATTCATATCGTAATACTTCCTGATAAAGCCTACCTTCAAATTTGCTACATCATTTAAACATATTAAAATAGATCTTATGAGCTAAATTACAATCACTTCCTGACGTTTGATTGTATAATTGAATCCTGAATTTTCATTGTAATTCGGCGACAATATAATAAGTATTGTTAATTGTTGTATAATAAGTATATAATAAGTATTGTTCTACCACTTCCTGACGTTCGATTGTATTCATACCAAGTTCATATTGTATAATCGGGAAAAAACGGCGTTAGCGATAGCTATGAAATGAATATCACTGTCATTTTATATGTAAATTTATATGGGAAATGTCAGCGATCGTTCTTTTCCAGCCAACTGGGCGCCGTTTTTTTCAGAAGCATATCAAGTGATACCATAATATAGTACTATATTACGATACATGGCGTTCGATTGGGCTTAAACTTGGGATACTACGTATCTTCGGTTACATTGTAATATGATGGTACTATGATGCATATAAAGTGGTACCTTAATATAGTACCATATTTCAATACCATTTCCTGGCGTTCGATTGAGCTCATATTTGATATATACTTGCGTATTTTTGATGACATTGCATTATTATGGTACCATGAAGCATATCAACTGGTACCATAATATAGTACTATATTACGTACATGGCGTTCGATTGGGCTTAAACTTGGGATACTACGTATTTTCGGTGACATTGTAATATGATGGTACTATGATGCATATAAAGTGGTACCTTAATATAGTACCATATTACGATACCATTTCCTGGCGTTCGATTGGGCTCAAACTTGGTATACTACGTATCTTCGGTTACATTGTAATATGATTGAACTATGATGTATATAAAGTGGTACCTTAATATAGTACCATATTACGATACCATTTCATGGCGTTCGATTGTTCTTAAATTCGGTATTCTACGGATCTCCGGTGACATTGCAATATTATGGTACCTTAAAGTATATCGAGTGGTACCATAATATAGTACACTATTATGATATCATTTCCTGGAGTTCGATTCGGCCCAAATTTGGTAAACTTGCGTTTCTTTATAAAGATTTGTTTAATTAATAATTTTAATTTATTTTACGGATTTTAATTTATTGTTCGATGTCGTGACAGCAACTTTTATGCCGAACTAATATATTATTAATTGCACCTGTGTCACTTTTTAAAATCTACCTAGGTCTATATAAATAACGTGGCAAACGGAAGAAATTTGTTATTATAGTATTTTTTAGTCAGTAAACATTTTTTGTACTGCATTTTAATAAATTATTTCCATTATTATTAAACTTATATTTCATTACTAACGTTCCAGCATTAATAAATATCACTATCAATCGCCCTGTATATTATTAATTTTAAAGGTAATTAAAGGTATTTTCTTAGTTAACATTATAAGGTATAGTGTATATTAAAAATGTATATGTTTTGTCATAATATACTTAAAACTATTTTAATAGCCAAAGGAATAATTAATATAAGTGTATTTGACAAGAAAAGAAGAATAGAAAGAAACACATACTGCATTATACACAATAAATGAATGGGATGCCAATTCACGTCTTTTTGAATCTGGCAACTGTGCATATTTAGCCGAGCTATAAGGCCGTCGACGAGCCGTCGATCCAAAACCGAAAGTTCAAAATTTCTAATTATATTCTGATTATGATATTGTCGCGCCATCTAGTATTCTATTTGTGCAATTTTAGCTCTTTCATTTCGAGTATTTTTCTGTTGCGTAGCTAGATATTCTGTGACATTGGCTTGGTTTATGTTTTATTCAGCTTATATTTATTTGGTATAACAGTTTTTTTGCCTTTGGAATGGCATGCATTGAGGCTAGATAGTGTTTCATTAGATCATTAAAGGAATTTAAATTAGCATATATTTTTTGTGATTGTGTGTTATCATGATACAGGTAGTTGTATCATAGTGCCTTATGCATGTTATTTACCTATTATATACTTATGTATTATCAGTAAATAGATGATAACGTAGTACTAAAATGTCTTTTTAATAGTATGTTTATCTTTCCAATTCACTAGTTATTTGCAAAATGTATTTTGAACTAATTTAAGTCATTAATTGATCATCTCTTTCTTTTCAGGTTCCGGGATATTCTTTTTTCATTGTTAAAAAAATATATATATTTCAATATTATTGTAATATAAATCGCAGCTCTAAAAAATAAATGATATTGTTTACTAATGTGTAATTTATTTACTATGAATTTTCTCTGAAAATAATAAGTCTTTAATAATATCATTGATTTGCTGTGTAAAGTTAATAGACATATTTTTAATACATTAAATTATATTAAAGTAATAAAAAATATGTTTATTAACTTTAAACAGTAAGTCAGTGAGACTTATAAAAATATTTTTTTTTAAATTTCCCCTCTTTTAAGCCCCGCCCCTCCAATTCCGCTCAATTTAGCTAGTACTGCCAGGCGACACCAGGTGGCGTCTGTTTCCATTTTTTAACATGAAGTTAGCATTTCTTTAATGTACCTATTCCCTGCTCATCACTATAACTGACAAGCTGGTTTTTGTTTGAATTCTAATGGTGTGAATTTTATAAGTTTTTATTTTTAGATCTGTATGTTCTAGTGGTAAAATACTCGTATTCTAGAAATAATAATAAAAGAGTTCTGCTAAACAACACAATTATTTTAACGATAGACGGTTAGAGACAAGAACAATAAAATAAAACTATTTAGAAAAGAAATTGGGTTTTATGTAG